CCGAAACGTCGCGTTGAAGGTCACGTTGCGACGAAGAAGACAGCCGATGTGGTAGTCCCAAGGTCGCGGTAAGAACAGCGTTTGCCCTAGGAACATTTGCGGGCGGTGTGATTTCAGGCGTTCCATTGTTGTCGTGATGTATGTAAACATCGGGAAAAGTTCGAAAGAATGCATCTTCAGTCTAACAGTTTCCTTGTTAAGATAACGGTACGGCTACGCAGTACATATATGGATATTATTTCTATACGTCGTCCTTCAACCTGAGCAGTATTTATTTATCTGGTACAGTGTTTCTCAAATTTTCGGTAAATTCCGACCACTCAGCAATCATAAAATTTCCCTTAACCATAAAGAGCATGCAGTTGCGGTTTCTTTTTGCGAATAAGAGAAAGTCATAGTTAAAGTTGCCGTAAACGACTTATTCTTCTATCCACCAATTTAAAATATTTTTAAGAATGATGTATAAAATATTTTAAATGATTTACATTTACATGTTTACCATAGGAAATATATCATACACGAAATACTAACACGTGTTACAGACATGGGTGCATAGAGGAAGGCATATCCTAAAAATTGAACTTATGGACGGAAACATAATAGTTTCATCAACAATTTTAGAGATCTGAAGATGATTAATATTGGTCGAAACATTTGTGTACACACCAGTTATGTAGAAAAATTTTAACGTTTAAAACTTTTAAAGGTTTTAAAAAGTAAGTTACATTAGAGACGGTTAACTAACAGGCATAAATATATTATCCCTAATACTGATATCGTTTCATATCAGATCAGTATGACGATATCTGAAAACTTGTACCAGCGTATCTAGCGTCCTGCTTGACGATGGACATCTTGAGCTATATATGAGATTCCACACCCACGCCGTTCCTTTCCATGCTCTTGATTTCTACTAAATTTGAAAATCCAAACGCACTTAGGTCATCAGGAATAACAGCAAATATTTGGTGGCTCTGTCAGATAGTTCTAGATATTCGGACCGAAGATGGACCCAGAAATTCGGGATAGATTTCTCACTAAAACTGCCTACGGACCTATATTTTCTTGGTTTCCCTACAGGCCTTTTGCCAATAAAGTTGCTTTCCAAAATCCTTTTCGGTATGCACTTCTATCCATATTCTAGATGTTGCCTGCCAATTGTAGTCCCTTTATATGAATAATATTTGATATGCTTGATGCTTCTAATTGTTTATATAACTCATTATTACATTATTATATGTAATTCTCCATGTGGTGTTTTCTTTCGTTGGACCAAGAGTTCTTCTCAGTACTTTCCTTTCAAATACATTCATAGATGATTGTGACTTTTTGGTGTAAGTCCAGCTATCACTGTACTTCTTTAATATTTGATTATAATTCCTTGGAATATTTTGGTCATGACTGGAGTGAAGTTTAACCATAGAACCCGACGTGTCCAACAGGACACCTTCCTTAGACCCACCGAGCTCTCATAAATAATAATGAATGAGCGTATCGTATTATAAAGTTGTTCTTTATTTAAATGTGGTAGGTAGATATGTCTTTGTACTTCGACTTCACACTTAAAGACTCAAGATTCTGAAAACATGGCATGTTACGATTGGATCACTTTTGTCATATATCCATCGGGCTGCAAATATATCAGATATTGAGTTCTCTGCACGAAGTGAAAGAAAAAAATACAAAGTGACCATTGTATACCCTTCCGTATTTTTCGGTCAAAAGTAACTTCTAAAATAATTTGAATTAAATTTGGTACTGCCAGATATGGAAACGCTGTCTTTTAGGATGTCACGACGTGTGTTCTAACGGAACGTTACAAATATTTAGGAAAAGTCTGCTGATTCCATTTTTGGAGAAGAAAGAATTGGTAACATTCTACCAGACTACACGGCGTCGTTACTCAGAAGTCAGTGATCTTCAGCATAACTGACGTGAGAAATTCTAACATTTTTTTTAATGTAACACTTTTTCTTACTGGTCGAATATAGCCCCAATCAAATGCATCTTTAAATTTCTATATCATGAGCCATTTTTGACATAAATCACAGACCTCACTAACATGCATAAATTTTAGTTGAATCGTGGTGATTACGTAACGAAATAAATAGAACTAATTCCTGGATCTATGCAGTGTAATTAACTTGTTACAATATGTCTCAGATATTTAATTAAGCTTTAATAAATCAGCATCAAAACCACAGGCATTTTTAATAAGAAAGAATTTATTTAGAAAGCAAATTTATGCCAGTGAAATGCATCTCTCCACTCCTGTAATTAATGCCCTTGCTCCAAATAGGAGTGTGCCTAACTGATGCATTCACTTTCATACAGGAAGATGTGAGAGTGAATTTTACTTGTCATTTTCTCCTCTAGAATGATTTCGCTTTCTGTTAATAAGGAAAGCAGTTCCAGCTCTCTCCATCAGTTTACGAGCTCGTCACATGATTTGATTAAGTCCCGTATTTTGGATTGTAGGACACGACAGTCTGAAAGCTTGACATCGAGGGCACTGGCCTTGCATGTCTCCTACACGACAACTGTCCCGACCAGTCCTCGCAAACCATTCAAGGGAGCTGCTGCAGGCACTTAAGTTGCTGAGGTGTAGAGGTTCGAAATTTCGCCATAAAGTCTGGAATAATTCCTCTTTGGGAAATTATCAACATGTATGTTTCTTCCTCATTATCGTACTAGCTTATCCGGTCTAGAAACCCGAGATTAACGGCCATGGAGATTCGTTGCCCTGACCACGCAACACCCTATATCCGCTAAAGTTGGCACTAACTTTGCCAACAAGCAGCGGTCGCTCGGTCGGTATAGTTTGCTTGCGGACTAAAACCACAGTTTTTTTATGTATTATCCTACTAGATTAGATGGGCTCAACAGAGAGTGACATCACTGGATATTACCCTGTAAAAACAATAACTCCATGGAAATCTTGAGAAGCTGATGTTCATTCATCATCCACCGGACAATGGACAAAGTCCAAAAACCCCCATAATCCCGAGTGTTATACATCACCGTCAGAACTCTTTGGAGTCTACCTTCCCACTTTGATCAAACCCGAAAATTCATTACCATGTGCTCAAGAGCACACCAATGAACCCTACCTTAGTCAGTTGAACAGATGCATGATCTCACGGCTTATTTCTATAAGGTCAACTTAATATTATCTTGTCATCAATGCCTATGTTTCCCAATTGGTCTAGTCCATTTAAGTTATAAAATATTTCGTATGCACTTCTCATGTTCCCATGCAGATTACTACATGACTCAACAACTGCATCCATCTTGATTCGCTCAGCGTATTAATATTCTGGGAAGAACCCTAGTTATGTTGCTCCTCATTTTGTAATAGCCTCCACATTCACATCAATTCCTCTCTCTTGGATCTATAGAGCTGCGTCATCACTTTGCGTTCAAATATCCAGAACTTGTGATTTCCTTTTAGGATGGGATATCAAGTTTCACACTCATATAAAATAACAAGTAGAATTACAGTTTTTTATGTTTTAAACTTGAGATTTTTGGAGATCACGGGGGAAGATAAGTTATTTAGAGCGGAACTGTAGCAAACATTTCCCCAATTTAATCCGCTGTAGACGTCTTGGCAAATATTTAATTTCTGCACCAGTTGTGTCTTGTGAGATTGGAAAAATTACTTTGGATCGTTTACTTTTATATGACCGTCAATATAACCTTCATATTTATCTAATATTTATATTATCAGCCACTACATGTTTCGACCTTTTAAATCATCCCCAGAGTGTACAGCATCAAACAGTCTAATTACTGAATTACTGCATTTTTGCCTTATTGAAGCCTGGATCTAGTTCTTCCTCTAAGTTTACACTATATTCATATGTTAAATTATTGACATGTGATGTGCTGTATGGTGGTTTAATAATACGGATATTTGAAAATATTACATAGGTCAACATTAACACAGTGTGAATTTATTGAAAGAGGCTCAGTCCGTTTCGTTAGAAGGGGGGGGGGAGAAAATCGCAATAAAGTAGTAAAAATTTTCAGATGTTTTACCACCTGAGAATGACCGAAAACGTCCAAATATGAAGTGGTTATTAATTACATTTTTTTATATAAATTTCGGTTATTCTTATGGTCAAGAAATGGGGAGGATAATACAAATTTTTTTACTAATCTTCTAATTCGTCGTAAATATTATTCGTTAGTTTTATTCCGAAAAAATGAATTTCATACACTTCGAAGGATGTTTATATTATGATTTTGTCACCTATTATGGTGACGAGATATGAACACATGCGAAGGTATGTGTCTCGTGCGAAAAACGCAAAAATGGTGGGGGGAGATTCTGTAATGAGTACTTCCTCGTATTTCATCTCCGAAACTGTTGAACTGGTTTCGATTGAATTTGATATTAGGTCATACACCGGAAGTTATTTTGCAAATTTAACTTCGGTCCGTATCTAACAAACAGAAACCCTACTTTACATAAAGCTTGTATCTAAATGGATCAGTTTTTTAAAAAACGACTCATATGCAGTATTTTTATTTACACCTATATATGACGCATGTATTACAGCGGAGGTTTTTTCTGGGATTGTTAATTTCTGTATGTATTGCTATGTAAATAACAGCTATTTTCAGAAGAGCATCGACAAATAAATCTGGTCTTGATATTCTTAACATCGGAGACACACAATATGCATGTATTACATTGATATATAAGCAAAATAGAATGATTTATATATTTCTCATTCTGAGAGTAAAGTGAACGGAAGTTATTATTGAAAAAAATATTAATTATATAAGATTCAAATTCACGTAATTTATCGTTGAAATAATTAGTATGTGTAACCTTTTTATATTCCATTTGAAAGAATTTATATTCAGGGTTATTTCTTCCTTCAGGCACATTTTGAAGACGTTTCATCATAGGTTTACGCAAGACATTATAGGAGGAAGGACAAGATGTGAGTATTTATTCGTATGTACATATTCCTATTGGTCGGTTTGACTTTTGCTTCTTTTTTTGTTGTTGTTTTTGTACTACGCGTAACACACTTTCACCTGGCCACATACGACAACGAGAGGTCCTCCTCTGTAGTTTGGAATACTTCAGTGAAAGAAAATTCATCTCTGAAATTACAATGAAGGTAAGGCAGAAACTACTTAAACTGAATGTGTATCCTTATGCGTGTTAGTTGTTAATGTGAAGTTATGAATTTGCTAGTGTTATAAAGAAGAAAACTCTCATGATTGGTTTAAAGTGTTAAGAGCTAACTTTCCTGAATAAACGTTTAAAAACAAACTCAAATCACCTACAACACCCATAAAATCTCAGAAAATTTGAACATTCAAGATTCAAGTAATAGTTACTTAGAAAACATTTAATTTACTGTTTTATTCTTAGTTTATTTAATGACATTTCATTATATTATATTGACTTTAATTTGAGAAGGTATGTGGAAACAGTTTGGTCCATTTAATTACTATCCCAGTTATTCTCTTAGAGGAACTGAGGAAATCCACGATTTTCTCAATCAATACAGCCAGTCTCCTGGTTAAGATTGTCTAGTGTTTTTATTTAAAAAACCTGAAGATATATGCAGGTATTGTGTGAAAAGAAGAGATATTATTCGATTTCCGGGTGCGGTTTATAACGAAATGAGTGAGCTCATTGTTTTCATCATGTCCCATGGTGCATGGCTCATCCGTACCGTCCTTGAATGTCTATGATGCAAATGTATTGCTAGCTCGAGGCTGGAACAGGTTCCGTTTATGCCCATAATACGGAGAACGCATGTAGGCAAGGGAATTTAAAGGACAATTTCTAAATACCCTCTCCTATGTAAAGACGTGGAAATTGAAATACAGAAAATTAATTTAACAACAGTGACGTTAATAGCACAATTTAATATTTCAACAAGCCTATAATCATCATAATTCCTCCCTGTTATAGTTCAAGTGTTGTTTGCTAAAAACCTGCTGCCTAGCAATAGGAACGTGTTTACCAAGCCGATGCCCAGAAACGGTCGCTGATTACAGAGTCATGTCTTAGCAACGGGTCTGTACACTACAATATATAAATGGATCTTAGAGAGACACGACATGGTGGTATGGACTGGATTAATCTGGCTCAGGATAGGGAACAAGGGGGAGGGTTCTTATGAACACAATATTGAACCTCCGAGTTCCGCAAATTTTTCGAAAATCCTCGAATAGCTGCGCAACTGGCGACTTCTCACTTCCATGGAGTTAGTTGTGCGATGAATTCAAATAACGCCTGGACACTGCCTTGTAAATAAGCGTCCCCTCACTGAAGGGTTATAGAAACAATTTGAAAGACGTTTTGTTCTTGTTCTTCAGGCCGAAATATGGCTAATTATAATCTCCTCAATTATTTTGATCGCTATAGTGAATTTGCTTGCATAGCACAAATTTTTAAATTGCAAACAACACAATTCTATAGACAATTCATGCGCGTAATTTTAGTCACTTGTAATGCTGACAGGTCCTTGTAGTTCTGATGCTGGTTACGTGGATATGGGCCACTGACCCCAAGGTACCTGTGGATCCTGAAGAGCCTGTTGGACCCCCACAACCATATAGCTTCACCTACGCGGCAGGCCGGTATCCAGGTCATATAGACAGAACACATTCCGAGACAAGTGACGGCTCCGGGACCATCCGTGGTAAGGACGTACTCGTTCACCTCGCTAGCACGTGACTGCTAACATTGGAAGTAGTTGTTTTGCTTGTGTTCTCTGTAAGAAGCCCCTACATGAAACGTCTCCGACATGTGACATTTGCACATGGAGGATGCAGTTTCCTCCGAAATGTTGGTAACAATTTACCAGACTCTACGAGGTTACATACCAGAAAACAGTATTCATATTTTTAGTATGCATGTTTCATAGCCAAAACGCAGTGTTTCACATTTATTTTTTGCCATGGGATCAGGTTAATACTTCGAAATACTGACTGCCACGATTTCCAAAATGAACAAGTTGCCCTATGTCTGCAACAGGAGTGGAAAGATGGTCTCCGCTTCCTGTTCAGGTATTATATTTCCTTGAACATATTTCGTTAAATATTCTCTATAACGTATTTACAATAAGAACTACAGGTCTGTATGCCTGTCTTATCATACACTAGTAGCATACTAGCCGATCATGGTGGCCGCACCGTCTAAGGTATGAAATATTTTCGCTCCCTCGAACACTGGGATCATGGGTTCGAATCCCACTCAAGGCATGAATATTTGTCTGCGTTTATTCTGTGTTTGTGTTGTCCTATGTAGGTAGCGGCCTTGCGTCGGGCTGATCCCCCGTTCAAGGCGTCCTACCGACTGTCTAAAATTAATAAACTGAAGTGAAACGAAGCGTTTCACGGATGCCCTATGCTCCAAGTGGGGCAACAGGAATAGATAGATAGATAGATAGATAGATAGATAGATAGATAGATAGAATGTCATGCTATTATAAGCTATTTAGTAAAACTGATATATTTTGAAGAAAGCAGTCTTCTGGGATTTTGCACCGTGTATATGTGGTGTTAACCGACGTTTCGGAGGAACGTATCGCCTCCATCTTCAGGGTAGAATATATAAGAAATCTGCAANTTTGATTCGCGTTTCAGGTAAATTCGTGACTAACTTCTATCAGACCTATGTTAACCAAAATAAGAAGAGCCCAGCAAACATCTACCCACTCCCCCTTCCTTTATTTTCGTGAAAAAGCGGAAAGTTTTGTCTAGTGTACTCAGTGGTGTCAAAAGAAATGTTTACTTATACTCAGCCAGTTTCAATTGGCTTAGCGCTAAGGGATTTTCTCAAATCATAAATGAGGCCCTTCCGTGAGATTAGTCTGTCTGTTACTCAGGGATGTTCGCTTACGTTGATCCCCGATACCAAGTGCGGACGGTGGAGTACGTAGCGGACGCCCAGGGTTTCCACCCCGTGCTCAGCAACCCAGTGGCTGACACCCCGACAGTAGCAGCAGCCAAGGCAAAGCACGCTGACCTTTACGCGCGCATTGCGGCGGAGCATGCGCGCATCGCTGCTGAGCGCGGCCCCGAACAAGAGGATCAGACGCAGCACCTCAACTACTGATGTGGCTCCAGAGCACTCCAGAGATTTGTGTAAGGCGATGGAGAGGGGAGCTGTATTTCGAGAGTGTGTATATACCGTATTTACGCATGTATAGGCCGCACATTTTTTGCCAAAAATTCAAGAGGAAAACTGGGGTGCGGCTTATATTCGAATTATTTTCGCTAGTTGCGAACTTAGGAATGTTAAACGTTGCCAAATTTCGGAATAATTTCTACTCCTGAAATAATATTCCAAGAAAATTATTTTTTCTATAATTTCTGTCTGAAAATTGTGCTGCGGCCTATACACGCACGCGGCCTATACATGCGTAAATACGGTATTTCATTAGTTCTATTGAGGTATAAACCGCAAAACTACACCATAGCTCAATTATATATTTCAAGGTGTTCAGTAAAATGCAGATATAGGTTTCGACGTTATAATTTCCTTTTAAAGCTGTACCTATATAACACCGCAATAATTTGAAATCATGATTATAATTATAAGATTTGTATAAAAATTTCAGAATGGTCCTAAGTCACACTGAAAAAAAAAAAAGAAATTGCATTTCGTACCGTTGTGATAATCTGTCCAGCGCAAATAGCTGGTATTAAGTACAGTACAGTGAAAGGTGCCTAACTTCAGTACGCCCTAAATATAAGCCACAAATTTGTATATGAATTCATGAAGTCGAACCGAAGCGAAGCGCCCGCATTAACAGGAAACAATAAATGCTTCCTTTCCGAGTGATTGCGGCATACCGTTGACTTTATTGCTGTCACAATTAACATTTGCATTTGTTACGCAATTCAACAGAGGAGCGATAATTTGATTAAGATTGTAATGCAGATAATTTTGCCCCTTGTATTAGTTGGCTTGCAAACAGTGCGATATGTATCAAGAAGGCACTATGTCTGTAAATGATCTTGTATGCATACTGTATATAATTTGTACGTAAATTAATCTCTCAAATAAAAATAATTGAACAGTCATAGAGCTGAATTATAATTGAAGCCCTACTACATGCGTTTCAACTGAGCGTCCTAATAAGTTACAAAGGGCAATACTGAGCTACGTGCCAGAGGGACTATATTGTCGCGTTTTTCCTAGGCAACGCGACAAGAAATTGTGTGGGTCTCGGATTTGGACGAATATGTTTATTGGACAATCACGCTTTACACTCACTAATACAATCACTCGGACTTATGACGTCTTCAGACATTTCCTCTTCAACTGTTAGATAGGCACCGCTAATCTCTATGGAGAATCTTGCTCTTCGTTCTTCAAAGCTGGACTGACTCCTGCTCTAGTCGGATACAAAGTGACTGGTCTCTTGCTGAAGTTGGACTGTTATATCCTGCACTCGGGCTGAATATGGAACACCCTGTTCCTGGTAAATATAAGTGCAGGGATCTCACCTTCCAGCCACACTATGGCTCTGGAGTCCACTCAGCCTCTAACAGAAATAAGTACCGGGAATCTTCCTGGGGGGTAAAGGGCGTCCGACGCGTAAGGCTGACAACCTTACCGCCATCTGTGAACCAATTGTCTAGAGAAAATGTGGGAGCCTCGACGTCACACAACCTTATGGGCTTTCGCGGCCTATTACAGAGATGGCTTAAGGGGAAGACAGAATACCAAGAAGGCATTAATTACTGGAGCAGATTATGCTCTTGTATAAGCTTTGCGCGCTGTTTGAAGAAATAATATGAAGGTCGCTTGTGCCCTTTCATCGGCCTAGCTGCATGTGACATATTCGAAATAATTTAACTAATTTAGATGAAATTTAGTATTGAGACCTATAAAAATGCTGAGGGGACTTTTTTTTCCTTCAGAGGGCAGGAAGAATTCATCATATGTAGATCATCATCATCAGTAATCTGTCAGACGACAGGTCCACAGTCTCTTCCAAAACAATTCCTCCACTTAATGCGATCTAGAGCTTTCTCCTTCAAATGACAGTATCCTCTTCTGTCCCCAAGGTCATCCAGCATCTTCTTACGTCTTCTTCCTCGTCTTCTGGTCACTTCTATCCGCCCATCTTTATTTCCTTCGATAACTTCTTTTAGAAGGCAGTTTCTGCGTAAAACATGACCAATCCAATTAGCCTTCCGTTTTCTTATTTCGTGTAGGATATTCCTCTGCTCACTGACTCTAATTAACACTTCTTCATTTCTTACACAATCGGTCCAACTGATCTTCTCCATCCTTCTCCAACACCACATTTCGAAACATATATAGATAGCTAATAAAATTTTCTTAAATGTATCAAAGTTTAAATATGTGATAGCGTCAGTACTACAGCAATTACTTTCATGAAGGAATCAAGATCGGATGAAAATATGGCGATACTTGCTGCAATTCTGTCAACAATATTTTGTCCTGCAGTCTCCTACACACAAATATAAACATTAAAACACACAAAACTGTAATTTGGCAACAAGCATATACAAGCTGTTTATCTAACATCATGATAGATTATAATTCACAAATCATGAAACAGGATCTACAAAATAGTAAGTCGTAAACAAACTTAGCGGCGCAATTTTACGAGTTAAAACGGACGATGAAAAATGTGTACAAATCTAGTTTACATGATGGAGCGACATGTATGTGACAGAAGAAAAACATTCCTTGTTCATTTAGTAATTAATGTTGTGAGTCACTGTTTGGCGTTCAAAATAAATTATATGTAATAAAAAGATTACAATATTTATATACACTTTTTAGCTTACACTGAACATATTTCCACATAAAATATGACTAAGATGACATTGTAGTGCGCCTATACAAAACTACAAGAGCGTGAACATAATGGACAGATGGGTCTGTTTGTTGTTTTATCAGTGATGTAACTTCTAGCGTCTGCTGTCGGATGTGCTTATTGAAGAGGAAGTCGTTTGCTTTCATATTTTCGTATAAATGTGGGGATGAAGTGCCAGTATGAGTAATGTTGTGTTCCTCATCAGGAGAAAACGACGCACATCAACCGACATGAAGTTGCTTCTTATGGTCGCAGGCTTGGTTATTGCCATGTGCTGTATCATGGTAAGTGTGTTCTGAATTAAGGCTGTCTCTTATTCATGGTAAAATACTTGTATAATACAAATATTCAGTTACTCAGTCTGATCAGCATATGACAGGATTTCAGGTCGCTTTTTATTTCAGAGTATGGGCCAAACCATCTTCGGGAGACGATTGGTCATCTAGGTCTTTGGTAAAATGGAATGAAGATTAAATTCCATAGCATCAGAGCCCAAAATCGGATATGATTCTGAGCCACTTAAATCCAGTTCACCTCGATACAGCCCATTTCCTAAACATCCATCCACTTAGATATTATTCCCATATTTTTTCAGCTCTCAAAGCGATTAGCTGCTGTTGTATACTCGGTTCTCATTTCATGTTTATTACAGCCTAGTTACATGTCCAGCACACCTATTTTTCATTTAACTACCGAAACAATATTAGAGAAATGCATAAATCGAAATTTTCACTTCTTAGTAATACCTATTCGTCACATTCTTAGCTTCTATACAACTTATTTATTGGGCCGTCACAACACAATAATCAAAGAACTTCAGGGACAACGCCCAGATACAGTTCACAAAAAAAATCTTAGCTTCTCTTTAGTACACAAATAAAGATATAGAAAATATTACTTCAGCCTGATTTGGAGAACTGAGTATTATGTACAATTCTATCATATGGGATAGAAAGCGGTGAAATCCAGTGAAAATCAACCGATGTTTCGGAGGAACATGTCGATTCCACCGTTATGGTCCAAGAGTAAGTTAAGCAAAAAAAAAAAAAAAAATAGAATGAAACACGGCATGCTGCCTTCTTCATGCTTATTTCTTTCTTGACCTACCTTTGGACCCTGAAGACGAAGGCGCTGTGTTCCTCCGGACCGTCGGCTGGCTCTCACCGTATTATACAGCGTAGTATCCCAGAAGACAGAAGTCTTCATAACCGCCGTTGTGTTAACCTCAGATCCAACAAAAGGACCATTCAAATAAGGGGCAGTTAGGTCAATTCGTCCAGGCCGACCTTCTCAAGGCAGCGGTGCATGTTGCAACTAAGAATATGGAGTAAATATCAGTAAATCGCGCGCTAAGCAGGTCTACGGCGTATCTAAAAAAAATCTAACGTGAAAATATATTTTCTGCATAAAACAAATTTTTCGAAAAACACATAATTTTCAGAAGGGTGCCTAATACCTTTATAAGATACTGCATGAACATGTGGTGAATTTTTTCAGTGGGACAGTGTGGTATACACGGCCCAAGTCCCTGATGGCCCCCACATTCCTGGAAAACCTGGGGGACCTGCATGTCGGGGTGGTCGAGGCAACTTCCCACCAGTAAACGGTAAGATACTGTCACGTGTATTAGTCACTATAGACGGAGTTTGGATTCGTGCCTCGATTTATTGACCACTTACGGTTCGTAACTACAAGTAATTGTAGCGCCATCCCTAATCTTGGCACATTACACATCACTATGGCACACGTTAAGTCTTCTCAGTCTTTTTCACTAGTCGTTTCCTGATAATAGATCTTAACAATGGGGATTCTTCAGCTTCTGGGTTCACGACGTTACTGTCCGGCGAATATCCCACAATTGAACTCTTGCTCAAACTGACTAACTCCCTGGCTGGAGGCCATCTCACACCAGCCTACTAGTCTTCTCTTCACAGACTGACTGATCGAACTCTCAGCTAACTGTCCTGGTTATAACATCTCGTCACTGACGGCGTAAAAACCGCTGTTCTTCTGTTGTAATTAAATTGTATTTATTAAGCATCTGCTGCCTAGCAAAGGCTATTATCTCATTGTTTGCTTCACGGTCGTTGCCTAGTAAAGGGTCTATACGCCACAATATTTATCATGCGACACATGCAAACTGCCATCAAAGGAGATTCTCCTGATGAAGGAAATAAGCTAATTTCCGAAAAGTAGTGGTTTTAGAGAAGTGTTGCAATGGGCGAAAGTCCAGAAGAATCGGTTTAATCAGTTTTGTGTTCTGACTCAGTCAACAAAACTTGCAAACAAATGCATTGAAGGGCATGGCGTTCAGAAAAATAAAATAGACATATCTATATGTAAGCAAAATGTGACTTCTCGTATTTTGGTAAAACTTTTAA